AACTCAACTTTCACGCAATGAAAATATCATATTCGGAATCAGCGTCGAAAATCGAGTCGACTGATATACTTTTTCATCTTATTCGAACACTTTAATTTTTTTGAATTTTCGCGTCGAAGGAAGCACTGGATTTTCATCCAAAAATTAAAGTGGCCCAGTAGATCTAGTTTTCGAGACAATGAGAACAACGTCATATAATATATGTTATATATGTATGTTATAATGGTGGTAGTAGTGGTGTAGTGTTTGTCAATATTTCTCGATTTTGATACGTTATATAATCTTCTTAACCAAGAAGAATATTATACTCATTATCGGTACATTTCTGTGTACAATTAATATGGTACAATTTATGATGAATATCAACTGCAAAATACAACAAAATATTTCCAATTAATGAATTCGATTGAAGAAATTGTACATACAGTATTGAACTGACTAAATCTATATTCTTGATTATATCGAGAACTGTGCTATTCTATACAAATACACTTCAGAAAGCGCCCAGTGTGAAATAAGAACCAGTCACGTAAGACCGCGTGCTGGGATCGTGAAAGGTTTCAAGCTGTATTCGAATGATCCGAAGACTAATTGCATACGAAGAGTTTCCTGGAGCTTCTTTAGATTTTTTTACAAGTGTTAGAGATCAAAGTTCTGTGCGTTGTACAGGATAGAAAAAACTAACTTTTTCCAACTGTTAAGATTAAACAAACAAAACATGAAATTTTAAACATTTATCTTGCGAGAAAATGGTAACTACTGCTTCAAAATATCCTCTTTTGTGTTTTTATGAAACTCGACGGTAACAAAACAATGCAATAGCAACGCTTATAAATATTTTTCAATTAATGATTGTTGAATGGAGGAGGAGGGCGATGTTGATGTTTCTCCAAGAATAAATGTTCCAGTCATATATGTTAGTGGAGTTAATATACGCCGTTCCATATCTAATTGAACCTGAAAATCAGATAAACCAGATAGTCCAACAATCAATGGATATGACATATTAGGTATCAAAACTGGCTGATCAATTGAATATTTACATTGCTGATAGATTAATTGTATTTCACTGCAATACCAGTATTGTTCATTAGGTACTAAAAAATCAGGAAAACTATCATGTTTTCTCATCCAATGCTGTCCAATATTCGTTTGTTTTTCTAGATGTAACTGCTGTCGTAGTTCTTCGTTAATCAGAGTTGTGTTCATTCCATTGATCAAACAAATCTGCAAAAACCGTTTCTGACCATAACTTTCACCAGTTACTTTAGATAATGACCATTCTTTGAGATTAACAATTTCAATATCCCCGTCAATAATATACATATTTTTCGTTCTTCTTGGCGTTGATCACATAACAATACTAGGAAAAAAAGCATTTGGTTTACTTCTCTCAGTTATAGATGTGGATACCATGAGCAAACAGAAAGGTAATTGATAGGGATAAATCTGATTTTCATGACTAGCAGTATTGACAAACCAATTTACTCCTCTTGAACATGATAGACAGGGATATACCATGCCAGTTAAACTATAATCTACTGCTATAGCAAACAAGCATCTTGCTGTTCTTGAGAATAGAGGAAAATGTATCGTCAGCGTTCAATACAGCTCAACTGGGTATACATCTCATTCTTCTACATGGTTCTGTACGATCTCAAAAATTCAAAAACCAAAAGAAAGAGACTTTTTTCTTGATGAAAATCAGAGAAACGAGAATCTGAACAAAAAGAAACCTCCTGTTGCATAGAAATCCGAGTAGACTGACTATGCCGAAGATTTATTGGCGTAGAAGTACGACTGGAACTTTTCCTACCTATAGCTAAGATTGGTTCATTCGGTCTAACCCACAAGTTCATTTGAATTATCAAACTTCTTTCTTTAGACAAACGATCAAATCTCAGAACTGTATTATATGCATGTTTATAATTACCCAAGCAAAAAAAAATCGGGCGGTTGGAGCTAGATAACACAGTTTTCAACCTGGTTACGCTAGCTTCCCTTCAAAAAGTTTAACTCAGGATCGGGCGAAACAACCTACTTTAGAGCGGTTGGCGGCTTGGCTAGCTAACGATCGCCTTCAAAATCGGAGATATGAATACAAAAACGGACAAAATTGATTCGACCATTCTAAAGAGCGGTGTCGATTACCTATAAAACCGCAGTTGCTCAGGG